GACCTTTTAAACAATGATTTTGTAACTATAAAATGTCAGTAGAAACAAATAAAAATAGTACTGCCCTTTCAAAATATGTTTGGAATCTCAAAGAAAAAATAGAGAAGGAAAAAATAAGATTGTCTGCCTTTTAGTTGAAAGGAAAATATTGAAAAAAGCTACAAACTATAAAAAGGGATCAATAAATTATAAATTGTACCAAGAAGAAAAATTGGCAATTGCCATGTTCAAAGAACAAAAAAAATATTAGACAAGAGCAAAATAATGTACAATTGCAAACAAGCAAGGTAATATCTATTGTTGCACATTGAGCCTCGCTAAGAAAAAGTAAACATGCTTATATATATATATATATATATATATATGTGGAGTGGGGGGGTTAGAAACAGAAAGAAAAACGATATGCAAATTGACATATTTAGAGATTTAGCAATTCTACCTGTATAGCCTGTAAATCAATAAATGGTAGAACTTGAGTTGCTTCTTACTTCAATCATTTTTATTTTTTATCTCTTAAAATATACATGTGTGTGTAATTTTCAAAACATTTCTTACAAACATTAAATTACATATTCTTATATTATTATGCCTGAAAATATAAATTTAATTAGAATCAAATGCTCCCTTTTTGAAAAAATATACCGTCACTAACTAAATAAACACATATACTATTTAAAACTATCATTTCTGCATATTCTTGTAATACATCTAATTTGCGTGATTTTTTAAAGTACTTTTTCAGTTGTAGTTCCAGTTTATATCAGCTAATAATCTTTGCCTAATTCAAAACGTAAGTACACTTCCGGAAAATTATAAATATATTTCTGTGCAATATAACTACATCAGTTCTTTTTCTTTATGAATACCAAATATACTCATTTCTATTTTTAAATAGAATTTTAAAAATTGTTGATTCAAATATATATTACTTGTTGACACTAGAATGAGTACAAAGTCATTTGTACATAACTTCCAAAAATTACTGATTATATATAAAACAATATTCAAAACTATCGAATATTTCTTTGTATATAAAATTATTTCAAACAAACAATACCAAAACTTAGGGAGCAAATAGTAAATTACATCTAGCCATTTATTCAACTTCTTTATAAAAGACCCACAAAGAACAGAAAGTAATAGATTAAACTGAAGCATTTTAAAACAATTTTTAAATACAGACAAGCTTTTCTATTTTAGAAGAGGTAATTCTTCCATTCAAAAGTCTAGTACTAAATCTTATTTACAAAGCAATTATTCACATACTTCAAACTTGTAATATCCAAGTACAATAAATACATTCACAAAGAGCATTTTTTTGCATTTCCAGATGTTAGCAGAATGAACCTCACATACAATGATTGTATCAGGTGGTATTGAAAGTTCTGTCCACTTTTAGGATGGAATATTTTGAACAAGATTTAATGAAGTTTAATCTTTAGATGATATTTGCCAGTGTCTAAATGACATATTTTCTTTCAGAGTTTGAGAATTATTTGAAGAAAAGTTTTTAATCAACCCCTTGTTTGCTCTAAGTAAAAACAAATTCATTATACCAATCTCTACAAATTTCCCAGAAGGAATAATACAAATGCAGTAGCAAAATTCAACAAAAGCACTTACAGTAATGCCGTTGTGTGTTAAAAAATATGTAGGTGATGGTTTTTCTGTTTCAGAAAAGGGGACTTCAGTCTTAAGGATGAGCCAAGAAAATTTCAGACTTTAAGCAGTTGTTGATGCTAACCATTACATTTAGGGAACTTTGTGAACACTTCACTGTTAATCATATGACTGTTCATTGCAAAATGAGAATGCTTGGGAAAGTGTCAAAGGTTGGAAAGTAGGTTTCACATCAGCAGGAAATTGCAAACATGTTGATTATTTTGTATCACTGTATTTCCATTAATTTCAAGTGCCTTTTTTTGGACAGAGTCCCTACAGAGGATAAAAAAATGGGTCCTTTACGCCAATTCTAAGAGGAGGTACCAATGGCTTAGATATGGTGGAACAACCAAGAGTAGGACTGCACTCAAAAAAGATTCTTCTGAGTTTATGGCAAGATATGCAAGAAACCATTTATTACAAGCTGTTAAATGATAATCAAGCAATCACAGCCAAAGTTTGTCAACAATTAAGGAGTTTAAAAGCACTTTTGGAGACAAAAAACGTCCATCTTTAGTAAAGATCCTTCCCTATTGCTAACACACACCCAACCTTATACTGTACAAATGATCAAAGATCTGAAAGGATTGTGAAAAAATGCTTCATTCACCCTATTTCCTGTACATCACTTCTGATTTAGAAGTTTGTAAAGCCATTTAGGTGAACTTAGATTAACTTTAAGAGAGGTGATTGAAAATGAGTTAGTTTATATTTCAGATAAAAACCTAAAGAACCTTATACACTTATAAGCTGGTTGACAAATGGGTTAAGGACATTGAGAACATTGGTTACTATATTGATGATTAAATACGTCTATTTTGTTTTTTCATAGAAAAAAAGTAAAACTGAATTTGTTATAATCTGATATATACTTCAATTGATATTTTCATTTTCAATCAAAATATATTGACAACTATTCAGAGAATCAAAACATTTATACTTACATGTAACATAGAACTAAGGAAAAATATAACAACTTTTTTTTTTTTTAAGAAAACATGTATATTAAAAAAACATTTATATGGCTTTAGGATTGGAAATTAGTAGTAGATTTAGAAAAAATTTTTATATTTTAAGACCAGTGTGGTTAGAACACTTCTGTATTGAGGAAATTTCTCTCATATTTATATAAACAATATTACAATTCATATTACTGTCAATGTTTTATCCTATCAAGAAACAAAAAGAGCAAATCATTGAAAGTTTGCATAATATAAAGTTTTCTTTTTACAGACATTGGTGAATAAAAAAAAATCAGTGGTGAATCAGCAAAAGTGACAAAAATGAAATATCTTTTTCCAATACTATTATGCCAAAATATCAATATAAAGATAATTTCAGATTCACATCTTTTCAATTATACTTTTTACTGTTTCTCGATTTGGAATGAATAAATGTGTTTACTACAAACTACATCAAATGCTGCCTATAACTAATGTCTGGCAAAGGATGCTGCTGAGATTATGATCCAGCTCAAATTTTATATCTATCTCACACAAATAAGTCAATGTTCAAATGTTGTCCTACAAAAATAAATCAAACATGAAAACAATCACCAATAATAAGCCTTGAGCATACCTTATTAAAATTACTAAATACCAAGACACCATCTTTATTTTATTTATTTTTTTACATTAAACCTTCCATTAGTTCAACTCAGATAAAATCTTCAAAGGTTCTTGCATTGGTAAAATAATTTTTCAAGGAAATTGAAAACATAAAAATACTAATTGTAATGCAGATTAGGCTATTTTAATACATTTGGGAGCAAGAAAGGATTTAAAAAAAAATTTAAGTGCTTAAAGATTGTAATAAAACATAAATGAAAAGACAAGAAATATTATAAAATGCATTAAAAGATTGCTTTTCAAGTCATCTTGACAAATCATACTAAAAAATTGCAAACATAAATGTACTTTTAAAACTAATGAACATCATAAACAATGATTGTATCAGGTTGTAATGAAAGTTTAAGACCAGAGTGGTTAAAACAGTTCTGTAGTGAGGAAATTTATCTCATATTTATATAAACAATGTTGTCAAATAATTCACAAGATTTTTCAGAAATTTTTCAGTTCTTAAGAATATTTTTAATAAAATAAATAGAAAGATTCTGTTATTGCCAAACCAGCATAGTGAAAAACGTTTTTCTCAATATTTTACCCCCTTGGATAGAGAAAATACTCTTTTTGTAAAATTCTTTTCATAAAAGACAATTTCATGAGGTAGGGTTATATAGTAAACTAAATAGTATATAGTCATCAGAATTTTCAATACAATAAAGTACATTATATTTGTTCTATTAAAGTGATATTTTCAAATTAAATTTGTATATTTTTGTGATAGGTATAAAGCCATCTGTGTTCAAATATTTTAGCATCTCTGAGAGGTTGGCATTTTAAGTAAAAAATACATCTTGCAACTGAATTAAACATGTTTTAGTCACTTTTTGCCAAATCCCTAAATTTATAACATTGTTAATAATTTGCATATCTTCTAAAGAGTCAAAGGTCCATTGGACATGTACAGCATTAAATATATTTCTACTAGTTACTCCTCATGAAAGGATTCAGATATATTTGAAAAGGAATAATGTAACATTTTTATATATTGAAATAATTGTATGTCTATATCTGATTAAACATAGTCAAATATAATTTTAATATTCTTCATTTGTAACTAATTAAAAGTATGTTATATCTCTTATTGTAATACAGATAAATCCGATTAGTTTTGAATCACAGGAAGGTAAATAATTTCTACATCAGACTTTAAAATGTATGTTTCTTGAAAGTGACTTTTTAAAGTAATGACTATTCAATTATTGACAATATGTTTATGAAACCTGTGTTACAGCTGATAGTAATTAATTTGATAAACAAAAGGAAAAGTGAAAGTAAATAGCCAAGGAGTACAAAGTACTCTTTTATATTTGATCATTAATATCAGAAGATTATTTTTAAATGACTTCATACCACCATTTCAAATCATTTTTTGGAAGATCAATAAGAATTTTTTTATCTACCAAACTGTTAAAGCAGACAAGGTTCCTCATGAAAATATATAATTTTAACCTGAAAATTCATTAGCCATTAATTTAATTCAAATAAATATTTCTTTGTTTAATGTTGTTCATGAAAATCATCTTTCTCATAAAAGTAAGTTCACTTTTAACATTATTAAAAGATAAGTTTTTCCAAGATCTTAATGTTTAGGGAATTCACACCTTTCAATAAGAAAGAGTTTGAAAACTTGTAAAGATTTTTGGAAGAATGAGATCTTTCACAAAAAATATTTTGATTATAGTTCATTTAATACTTGGCTTATGTTTTCAGCTTATAACCATGGTGAAACACCAGTTCATGCCCGATCAACAAAGTTAAGCAACATTGAGCCTAGTCAGTACTTAGTTGGATGACTGCTTAGGAATACCAGGTGCTGAAAGCTTGGATGTACAGGTGGTATAAAGGATAGTAGCCAAGTTCGTTATGTTCACTCATGTGCAAATACCCTTGTGAAAGGTATGAATCCATCAATCTCTCTCTCACCAACTAGGACCTAAAAAAGTAGAGAAGACTGGGTGCTTGAGCTAAAGAAAATATTGTGGAGTTCACAATGACTATGATCCTGACTGCAGTCAGGATCATAAAAAATAAATTATATTTTGATTATAGCTAAATGAATAAGTAATATATTGCTAGTTTTAAATTTGTATGTCCAATTTAACCAACTATATTGGAGCTCATATAATAAGGAAATTCTTATTCATGTTTAAGTGACCATTACATAAAGATATCTCTTTAAGTGTTTCATGAATGCCTCAAATTTCAGAAAACTGTTCCCTCCCACATACACTGTATGCATTTGACTCATTTATTTGTAAAAGCTACAGGATATAAATATCTGGTTTGAAGCTGTCACTCATACATAGTAATTACAATTGATTTTAATTTCAATGTAATTTTATTTTTCACCATTCACTATTGATTAAAATGAAAAAAAAAAATCTTTGGTGTAATAGTAGAAGCAAGAAAATGACAAAAAATGGTATCACTTCATATTCAGCTGTTTCAAGAACAGTGAAACTGAGAGATTTTGTTTATTTCTTCTCTCTCTTTTCTGGTCAATACTTTTTTTCAGCTCTGTCAGAATGACTAGACAGTCAAATATTTTTTTTTTATTATCTATTCCCAAAGCAACAAAAGATCAATCCAAGTGAAATAAGCAATATTATTTTTTTAAATTATAAATAAAACTTCACTGGGCATTAAACTATATTAATAAAAACAGAAACAACTGCTATAACATAAATACAATTCTTAATATCACTAAACTAATATAAAAAAGCAATATGAAGGGTTTTAAAATTTAAATAAGAATTTTGTGAGAATTTATATATATTAAAACATTTTGTGTCAAAACTGAGCGTGTGGAAAACTAAGGACTAGATAAAGTACAGTTTTGAAATATCTTTAAATTTAATATATGTGGAAACATGGATTGTATAACATAGTTTGGCTATTCAAAGACTAGAACACTGAACATAAAACGTATGAAATAAAATTTCTCATTTTATCAGTTTTTATGGTTTTAACCATCCAGAAATAGTAGAAGGTTTTACCAATATAAAGTATAAACACTGTTACATTAGTATACTTATATATTTGATCAATAAGATGGGTCATTCCAACTAAATTTAACATGGGTCTTGAATAAAACTACTGACTTGCATTGTTTTTGAAACTATTCTTGGTCTACTATTGAAAAATAACTTTGCCAAGCCTAGTAACAAAGGTTATCTGAAATGGTGAGCATCTGAAAATGGAACAAAATCAAAAATTTGGAATGGATGAAGTTATGAAGCTAAAATTTTCAGGAAATACCTTTCTCCTAGAAGTAAACAAATAGTGAAAATTTGAAAATATTGATTTCAGACCACATTGAATGACTGGAATGACCCAGATTGATTTAAAACATCTTAATCATAAGGTATGCATTACAGTGTTACATCTAAAATGGCAGGATCTAATAAACATAGTCAATTCATTTTGGTTTAAATCAAATCATTTCTATAAACTGAATAAGACCATCTATGACAATAATTTAGTTTCAGTAATGAATTTTTATTTAGCATTTGTTCATATATGAACAGGTTGCTAGAAAATAACTGCTTTTATATATTAATTAAAATGCATTTCTACTAAGTACATAGAGAGTGAATATCATAGAATACAAACATTGGCTTATTAAACTAGAGATTAAGTACTGTATGGTTTTGAACCAAATACAGAGAGCAATGATTGCAAAATCAACTGATGATTCTATGATTTACTTCATATATTTCAAATTATTGCAATAAATATGCTAGATAAAATATTTAAACAATGAATTGATAAAAGGAAGAATGAAATCAATCATTGTAACAAAAATTAAACTAATAGCAAAAGAAATTTAAAATGTTAGAATCAGATATATTTGTAAACATAAAACTAAAAATGGACAAGGTTTAATTTTGTTAATGAAGTAACAAAGATTTACAAGGTTATTAACAACAGATACATGAATTTATTTTAGATATTTAATTTCAAAATGTAATTATTTTTAGTTAATATTTTGAAAGAGTTTTGTCAATATCTGACAGCAAGGTCTTGCAATGTTGCTAACTTATATCAAAATCAGACAGCTATACAATAGTTTAGGTAAATAGTTCACCTACAATTCACATTCAATTTTTCTGAAACATTCTTTTTAAAAGTTTAAATTTTACACAATTTTAAGGATTTTGTATAAAAGATAAACTTCAATTATTACTGATTTCTTTCAGATTGACCCTAACAGTAAAAATCAGCATGGCTTTCTTGTAAATGTAAACAGTGATAAGGGAGAATCTTCCTTTCAAAACAATTACAAACAAATTTACCTTGCAGAGGGGCCACAGTTTTATTCATACACAAAAGGGAGCTTACCTAAAAAAAATAAAATAAAATAAAAAATAAAATAAATTTCATCTAATGATTAAAAAGCAATTTAATTTTCAATAAAAATACAGGAAATAAGTTTTAATAACTCTGAAAAAATATATGTAAATCCTACTTAAATATAAAAAAAACAGAAAACATAGCAAACTGGTTTCATGAATGAGTTTTATTTAAGAAAAAAGTAACTGAAAATGAACAAAATTAGACTAACAATCATGCAAGAATAAAGTACTTTACTGTAATAAATACTTTAAAGCCATTAATCACAACAAAATTATTATCTTGAGAATATTGCAAAATTTTGTAGTTGAGTCATATATTTTAATGAGTACACTTTTTACCTTTAATGTGTAAGGATCTTTTAATTCATCAAGTAACTAGATGAAGCTGCAGTCATTTTGGATTAGCAAAGATTCAATCTTCAAACTGGCAAAATAAGTCTAGTAAAATATTTATCTAGTTCTTAACTGTTTTATAACAAATTTGTCAATATAGAGATTTTGTCAATACTTTATCTTGTCTGAAGAAGTAATTGTGATGAAAAGTCACAGGTATGTGACTATAAAGAGGTTAAAGTACATTAAAGCACAAATAGAGTAGTTGAAAATTTATAAACAAGATCCTCTCATTAAAAAGGTATTTATAACAAAAATATTTTAACAAAGTCAAATGTTTAAAACTCTAATAGTTTCACAATTTGCTTACAAAGGTTTATGAAATCATTTTTTAGCATCTATAGTGCAGTTATTATTGGATGGCTAGAAAAATTAGAAAAAGCCTTCAGAATTCATAATATATATTAAAACACCAATCAAGCAGAGGGGACACTACAAAATGAAAAACTAATTTCATTGCTAATAATTAAAAAGTGGACAGTAGAATAAAAGAAACCTGAAACTGAAATGTAGCAAACAAGATTTTAAAACTTAACAGTAGTAAATATATATTCATAAAAAAGACATCTAACAGTATCAAATTTTTTTAAGAAGCGGTAGTTTTAATGTTTTAAGGTGAAGAGGATGTGATACAATGAAAAAATAAAAAAAACTCACTTTCGTATAAAGATCATTAATGAAAGAAAAGCAACAAAATATGCAATGAAGTGCAATAATTTGAGGTCAGTATTATTTTCAAAGTAATCAATAAATATTCCAACCTCAGAGCAATCAATTATAATGAACTTCTGTGAAGAGCAGATTTAGACTAAAGAGCATAGCAGAATTTAGACAAAAATGAAGTAGATTTAATTAAATGATTATTTAGTCAATTGAGATCTTTTATCTACATTCAGTGATGAGCCAAAAACATTATGACCACCTGTGTAAGAAGGTTGGACAGTCCTCTAAATGACCACACAACAGCTCTTACCTAATCAGACAAGAACTTTACAAGTCCTCTAATGGTTTTCTCTGGAATTTGGTGACAATGTTTAACTGCTGCCAGTTTCCATGTTGGAAGTTCTACAGAGTGAACTTCTTGGCTTATTACATACCACAAGTGTTCAAAGAGATTGAGAATGGAGATCTCAGTGATTGATATTAGTTAGCATGGATATTTTGGCAGGCCTGCAGCTCCACAACCCTATACAAAACAAGGATCAATGTATTATGTATTATAATACATTTCTTCTTCATCTTGTTTAAAGCTATTTGTAATTTCTGTTAAAGTAGCTCTTCTGCTTGCTCATATTTGACAAGGGAAGCCTCCATTCACTTTTCTCATGAATAAGTTTTGGTTGTCCAATGCCTTGTCAGCAGTTTGTGATTTTTTCCTTTCTTTGATGTCTACCAATAAGTACTCATTGTAATTGAAAATGAGTACCCCTCAAGCTGTACTATTTCAGAAATGTTAAAAACCAAAGCCTTACAATATAAAGCTTCTGGTTTATCACAAAACCATCTATTATTTATCTTTTTTATAGAGATTTGTGTAGCAGTTTCATGTAATAATCAGAATTGATAGGAAGTCTGGAATATTATGGTATTTGCTGAGAAAGGCATTGATCTGTATAAAATGATCGAGATAGCATTTTCATCTGGTCATTAGTAAAGTGAAAACAAAAACAAAACCTAAAGAAAAGTGGATATCAGATTGATGCTTAAAAAGAGAGAGAATAATATAAACTCAAATACAAAGAGATTTGTTAGAAAAAGAACAAGCAAGTAACTTGAGCTTAATGTAATACATTAGGCAAGATTGATTACAATGATGGAGAACAGAGAAAGTGCAAGATACAAAGGAATGAATCATCTGAAAATACAATAGAACAAATGTTTTTATGTAGAAGAGATTATGTGATAAGGCAAACACAACATCCAGTTCTATTCGACCAAGTAGATGATATTTCTAAGTTTATGATGTGAATATAAAAATTATGCCACTTTGCAAAATAGGTAGATACTGTTCAATTTGTAATGACACTTGTAAAGTTTATCAATAGTAATATGATTGAGTGGTATATAACAG